TAACATGGAATGAAACAAAAGATCCAATATACAAATAAATATGTTTATATATATTTGTACACATATACATTTGTATGTATATATAAGGGGGATTAATTTTCACTTTGTACTATATATGTATTTGAATTTTAAAATACATGATTTCCTTTTGTAACAAGTTTGAAACTGAATATTAAATGATTCAAATAACAGTGAAATCATTGCCTGTTTCTAGTTACATGTAGAGATTTTCTAATATTGATTTTATTTATAAAAACAGACTGCTACATTTATTGATAAATTGCATAACTTATTTCAGATTATTACCACTTTTGATTAATCTAGTATGGAATTTTAAAACAATTTCACATAATCTGAGAAAGTATCATGGTATACTTTGATGGGCAGTAAAAATCTTTTCTATGAGTACAGAAGTATAGGAGTTCCCACTTCAACTTTCATCCCAAATGAAAGCAAAAACTTCCTCATCTTTTCAGATATTATAGATATGGTACTGGTTAGTCACATCAACAAAAACCCTTCGACTGTTAACTTTGATCCAACTGAGAAATCCCAAAGGAAACTACAATAAAAACAATAATTTATTCCCATTTGGCAGGCTAATTTCAGTGACCTTTCATTGTATCTTCTTTGATTCCCTATTTTATTTATTTTCTTTTTCTTTTCTTTTTTTTGGAGACAAAGTCTCACTCTATTGCCTGGGCTAGAGTGCAGTGGGCGCTACCTCACTCTACCTCACTGTACTCTAGCCCGGGCAACTCACTGTAACTTCAAATTCCTGGGTTGAGGCAATCCCTGAATTCTGTGTATAATTTTTCAATTGGTTCAGAAGTCAGGAAAAAAGAAAATAATAGTATGTATTGACTCTAAAACAATGCTAAATAATGTGGTCCCTCAAACCCACTGTTTTCTTTGAATATGTTACATTATGAAATGGTCCAATAACATCGACATTAAGACAGAGTCTAAGAGGCAGCAAAAGATTTTGAGATATCTTTTCGCAAGTCCAGCATAAAGAATTAGATGTACATGTGATTTTTTTTTTTTTTTTTTTTGAGACAGGGTCTCACTCTATCACCTGGGTTAGAGTGTACTGGATTCATCATAGCTCACTTCAACCTCCAACTCCTGGGCTCAAGAGGTCCTCCTGCCTCAGCCTCCCAAGTAGCTGGGACTACAGGCATGTGCCACCATGCCCCACTTTTAGTAGAGACAAGGTCTCACTCTTGCGCAAGCTGGTCCTGAGCTCAAGCAACCCTCCCAAGCTCTGTCTCCCAAAGTGCTAGGATTACAGGCATAACCACCGTGCCCAGCCTTAGATTCCCTCTTGATCCTACAGCTTTGAACCAACTTAAGTTTTCAAAATCAAACCTCACTTTGTAGCAGAAGTCTCACAAGTCCATTAAACTTTGCAGTTGATTGTTCCTTCTTGTGCATCAGAGCATCAGAGCTCATTCCTCCCAGCTCAAGAACTCCAAACTTTGATAAACAATTCCGTATTCACCCTATCTATGGCTTTTGGGAGGGAGGAGAGTGAGGCAGTTTCCAAGTATGGGCTCTGGAACAAGACTGCATGGGTTTGCAGTGGGCTTGGGTTGCATGACTTTGGGAAAACTGTTTCACTTCTGCATTTTAATTTTCTTAACTCTAAAATGGAACTGACCTCTGAGGTCTGTTGTAAAGACTGAATAAGATAATATAATCACTTTAAAAAGCATACCTGGTGTGACTTTACTGATTTTAACTACATTTCCTTGGAGCCCGATAGGATTTTAAACGTTTAGTTTACTCTCATTTGGTAGGCTCCTAATTTCTGGGACCTTTCACTGTATCTTCTTTGAGTCTTGCCTCCTTTCGTTTGATATCCCCACAGGTGTGCACAATATCCCAATTTTCTTTTAACTTAATTTCATTTAACAAGAAACCTACATTATATAATACCTACCATGTGACAGGCATTCTAAGCACTTGGTGAATGTTCACTTATTTTATTCTCTGAATAACTCTATAGAGCAGATACTATTACTTATTTTTGCTGTAAAGAGAAGGCAACTATTTCATAGCAAGCATAAATAGCCCACCCAAAGGTCACAGGAAAATTAAGAGTTGGAAAAAGGAAGTGAGTTCAGACACTCTGGCTCCCAAGACAGTGCTCCTACCCACTGTGCAGCTTCTCCATTGTGCCCTCAAGGGCAAACCACCTCCTCCAGCAGGCATTGGCACTGCTGTGAACTAAGGGAAAAATCAGCTGATACCTAATAGGCACGAACATACAGAAACAAATGATCTATTGGATATTTACTACAGTCAAAGACTTTGACACCTACTGCATTAAGAGAACCCACTTCCATAACTCTACAAATGGACACCGTAAATCAGTTCCTCTTTGGAAAGTTTCCCACAATTTGACATTTTGAAATTTGACTGAAATTGTGGTTTCTAGTTTTCATATTATGAAACCATCCTGTACAAAATTTCCCTTGTTTAGAATGAAACTATTCCAAATCTTCCTATAGATAATGGATTTGTGGCAGTAGGGAAATTTACAATGAAATTTAGAGGTTAAATCTAACTACTTATCAAAGAAAAATTTTTGAAGTTTGTTTTTTTCCCCTTGTTGAAGCAAACAAAAAGATACATGTTTAAATTATGTTACATTATATCAATGAAATCTTGAATCCGTCCTCCTGACAATCAATTTATTTGAGTCAAAAAGAAATTGTTCAAACTGTGCCATCATTGGGTAGAACCAACCAAAATTATCAGGCATTGTATTACCTCATATTTTAAAATGTCCAGGGGGATACAAAACTTTTATTCCTAGAATCTGATGCCAAGTCACCCAAAAATTTCTGATCACCCCACCCCACAGTCTAGTTCGACTCTATGGTAAAACTTGTGGCAAGAAATACGAAATGAAACTCACTGTGGAGAACTCCGCATCCCCCATAAGATCTCTTAATTTCCTCTTTTCCTTTACCTACAATGCCAAGGAAGTCTTTCTGTCATGAACAACTTTTTCCACATGTAAGTAGCAATTACACCTTTTTAAACTCAAAGATATTTAAAAGAAAAATTTTATAGACTTTGGTCCAAGGTTGATTGATGAAATCCCTGAAGTCTTCTGCATTTCAAGTACAACACTGAACGCAGAAAAGATTTCCAAAATCTTTCTAATAAGTGGAACAGTATAACATCTCTATTCAAATCTGTAATTCACTCGCATATCACTGAGTGGCTAACATTTTTTAGAGCTTCCTACCTATCAAGCATTATTCTAGGCAAACAATTCATTCTCTTAACAACACTATGAGGCAGATACTATTTTCAAACCCACTACACAGGTGAGGAAACAGACACAGAGCTGTTGAATCACTTGTCTTTAATCTAGTACCAAGTAATTTGTGGATCTAGGATTCTAACCCTCAAAATCTGAGTCTAATAGCCCTTGCCTCTTAGAATGTCATGTTAATTCTCAGAGATCCCAAAATCAACAGATGAACACAAATGCCTACAGATATAATCAGGCCATCCTCCTGAACACAAATTACTGGAAAATCTGGTCAACAAGGTCAGAAGAAGACTGTCTGATTGTAGAATCAAGCCTTATTCTCCTACTTGATTGTAATTTGGCACTATTTTCTTCATATTTCTACCTCCTATTATTTCATACAAGAGGCACTCGAAAGGTTCATTGAACATGCAGATCGAGAAGATAAACTTCAGGAAAGTTATGATGAGGAAATATAAAGATAACTGCAAATAAGCTCATTTGTTCGAGTTCTAGTAGATTAACAGCACACAGGTTTGAAATCAAAGAGCATATTGCAAATCCCCCAAAGGTTTGAATATGAAGATGTTCTAATGGGTCACATTACACAAGTGAAATGAGGAAGGAAACCCAGTATAAGAAAGCAGAACGACACTTGCTTCACATGCTCTTTCGTGGACTCGACTAACTGCCACCATCAGGAGAGACAGACTGAGTATCCTCCAAACACAGGTGAATTTCAATTTTTATTATAAGTGTGCTTGCTTATAAAAGGTGAAGTATGCTTAAGGAAAAAAATGCTTTAAAGTTAATTACAAACCATAGGTTATGAGCATAAGAAATTACATAATTTACAGCAATCTGATGTATTAATAATAAATAATGTATCATTATCTCTTAAATGGGGCTTTGTTTTACCGCTGCGTTAAAAGTAGCACTTGTGAATGAGACAGAACCTGTTATTTGGATTTCACAAGGCTGTGAAAGTAATAGTACTGTTAAAAGTACCAAAAAATGTATTATGTGCTTTAAAAATTCTAGCCAGAAACATCTGCCTTCTTAAAAGATCTATTGAATGTATTTAAAAAACGCAGGATGTTACTATGCTATAAATCTAATGTCTGCTTTTTAAAAATAGCACTTGCAAATCGTGAAGGACTTTTTGCTTTCCTCTGTTTGTGTACATGTTTATTAATAATAGCTGACCGGAAACCATGAACACCACGGTGATACAGGGCTTCAACGGGTCTGAGCGGTGTCCCAGAGACACGCGGATAGTGCAGCTGGTGTTCCCAGCCCTCTATGTGGTGGTTTTCTTCACTGGCATCCTGCTGAACACTTTGGCCCTGTGGGTGTTTGTTCACATCCCCAGCTCCTCCACCTTCATCGTCTACCTCAAAAACACTTTGGTGGCCGACTTGATAATGACACTCACGCTTCCTTTCAAAATCCTCTCCGACTCACGTCTCGGACCCTGGCAACTCAGAGCTTTCGTGTGCCGCTTCTCTTCAGTGATCTTTTATGAGACCATGTATGTGGGCATCATGCTGCTAGGCCTCATAGCCTTTGACAGATTCCTCAAGATCATCAGACCTTTTGAAAATTTCTTCATAAAAAAACCTGTCTTTGCAAAATGGGTCTCGATCCTCATCTGGTCCCTTCTGTTCCTCATCTCCCTGCCAAATATGATCTTGAGCAACAAAGAAGCAACACCATCATCCGTGAGAAAGTGCGCCTCTTTAAAGGGTCCTCTGGGGCTGAAATGGCATCAAATAGTAAATAGCATATGCCAGTTTATTTTCTGGGCTGTTTTTGCCCTAATGCTTCTGTTTTATGTGGTGATTGCAAAAAAAGTATACAATTCATACAGAAAGTGCAAAAGTAAGGACAGCAAAAACAACAAAAAGCTGAAAGGCAAGGTATTTGTTGTTGTGGCTGTCTTCTTTATATGTTTTGCTCCGTTTCATTTTGCCAGAGTTCCATATACTCAGAGTCAAACCAACAGTAAGACTGACTGTACACTGCAAAATCAACTGTTTATTGCTAAAGAAACAACTCTCTTTTTGGCAGCAACTAACATTTGTATGGATCCCTTAATATATATATTCTTATGTAAAAAATTCACAGAAAAGCTACCATGCTTGAGAGGGAGAAAGACCACAGCATCAGGCCATGAAAATCATAGCAGTCAGACAGACAATATAACCCTAGGCTGACAATGTTCCACATGATTAACTTCTATTTATTGATGGGACTTCAAAGGGTAATTTATTTGGAAAGAAAATGTAAGCAATAAAAAAAGAATTGAGACAAATGCTCCCTTACATTTTATTATCCTGGTGTCCAGAAAAGATTATATAAATTTTAACTCTACATCAATCTATTCACAAGCAGAATGAACTATCATTAAGAGAATGCAGCCGGGTGCGGTGGCTCACGCCTGTAATCCTAACACTCTGGGAGGTTGATGTGGGAGGACTCCTTGAGCTCAGGAGTTCAAGACCAGCCTGAGCAAGAGCAAGACCCTGTCTGTACTAAAAATAGAAAAATTAGCCAGGTGTCATGGCCCATGCCTGTAAGTCCCAGCTACTCGGGAAGCTGAGGCAGGAGAATCACTTGAGCCGAGGAGTTTGAGGTTGCAGTGAGCTATGATGAAGCCACTGCACTCTACCCAGGGCTACAGAGCGAGACTGTCTCAGGGAAAAAAGAGAGAGAGAGTGCAAAAGGAAGCAAATGGCCACTAGAGGTCATCTTTTCAAGAGTATTCACTTAAAATTTGGAAAAGATTAAGGAGAAATGCGTATCTCTAAAATCCTTCCCTCCAAACACCTTCTCGCGTTATTTTATGAACAGAATTCAAACAATACTACTGCTTTTGTGTCCCACAAATGTGGATACTTGCTGATTTTAAACAAACAACCCCAACCTCCAAAGTCCATTGTCGAAAGGTGAGCGCCAGGGGTTAAAAGGGATGCTAGATATGGATCCAAAGTGGATCAGAAAGACCTGTGAAATCCTGGATGAAGGCTTTTCTCCTTGCAATTATAAACAGCCTCTTCCACATTACAACGAGATACCATAGGAGGCACAAACACCATTATTAAGCCACTTTGCTTACACCCTAAGGGTGGTACAATTCAAGGGAAGGAATGCTGTGTTACTATTCTCTGGAATTGTCCCTCTGTCCAACAAATACTCTAATGGTGGTTGAATATGCCACCTACTGAGCAAAGCCTTGCCAAGCCACACCTCTATTCCCTTGCCCCACCTACCATTAAAAATAATTCTGTCTACTATTTGGGTGTGTGGTAGGGTCCTCAATGCCGATTTCCCTTTACTGGTTAGCTGTATTCTTGACAGTAGCCCCCAAAGATGGCCGGGATTCTTAAAAGACAGACATGTCATGTTTTCTGAATATCTTTCACAATACACCCCACAGACCATGGTCTACAGATGTTTTAGACAGAATTGCTATTCTTGGTACATATATAGATGTAATTGCTGACCTGTAATCAGTAATATCCATTTTGGGATATTTTCAAAGGATGGTGACCTACTTGTACTTATTTACCTTCATATTTTTTCTTGGATCCTTTTGTGTTTCAAAAAAGTAGAAAGTGGTTTTCTGGAATTGTGCATGATAATTTACATCTTCTAGAGAAAACACACAAAGGAATAGTCATGCTCTGTAAATGTACCACTAGCTACAACATGACCAACATAAAGTGAAGCCCACGCTTCCTTCTGTGACCTCCTCCTATGACCCAGAAGGCCCTAGGACTTGCCTGCCTTTCTGGCCTCATCTCCTAATCGCTCTCCCATCCCTTGAACTTTACACTCTTGTATAAATTTCTTTCAGAAAATGTCACATTCCTTTTTGTCCCTGTGCCACTGAACATGTACATTTCCCTCTGACTCACCTAGAAAACTCTTATCCCTCTGTGAAACCCTACACTGCCATCACTTACTCTGTGAAGTCTTACCTGGCCAACTTCCTCCCACCACCTCAAACCCAATCACTCCTTCATCTGTATGTTGTCACATCTCAATTATGAAATGTATCACACTGCATTGTAATTATTTGCTTACATTTGTATCTACTCTTTTAATAACTTATGTATATTTTTGAGGGCAGAGACTATCTCATTGTGCAATCAATAAATGCTTGATAAAATAATTCAAATGAGTTTCATTATTTTGTGCTGGAGAAGCATTCTCATTGATGTTTTTATTATCAAAAGATGATATAAATGTCTTGTAAAGAAAGTACAAGCTCTTTTCAGTTGCTCTCCTATTATGAGCATGTAGGGGCCTGAGGATTGGTGATGTTCCTGGATTCCACGAAAAAAACAGGACCATTAAACAGTGCATATGTAGCTCAGGGGCTACCGTCTATTAACATTTCGGTTTTAAAGCTATTGACATAATGCTTTAGCTATGCACTGTCAGTACTGGTTAAGCAAAATTTGTAACTGTAGCATATAACAATCACCAAAACTCTCCTTTAAAAAGTACTCTTGATGTCTGATTTTCATTCTCTCAAATAAAGGAATTAAATCATCATTACTATTAGGAATATCACTAAATCCATATTACCTCTACTGAGTGCATCGTACAATTACAATAAGACTATAACACTGTATTTATAAGCAACTGCATCTAAGCTATCCACGTTATTATCAAGCAATATTTGGTAGTGTAACTTACGTATTTCACCTCTAATGACATTTTCAATCTTTACTGAATGTGGGTACAGCTACTATATACAATTTTTTAGAAAGATCTTTCAAGATAAAATTCCAAGAGCAAATCTGTCCTCCATAAATACAAATACTTCAGTCCATTATAACAATCACATAGTCAAAGGCAAAGTGCCTGATCTGTAGAATGAAATAATCTACATCAAGAACTTGGAGAAGAGGCATATTAGAGACATCTTAAAAATCACATTCACAAAATGAAGAACTTCCTAAACTATCTATCAGAAAGACTAAATTCTAAAATAAAGAATGGGATGCTATAATATAGCCATAAAGGATGCACAGAAAAGAAAAGGAAAAAAATATATAGTATGTGAGCTTTTGTAAAAAGTTTAAATGCATTTATTTTTACTGGATAAACAGGATAAGGTCTTTGCAATAACCTCCAGGCAAAGGTGGGTGGGTGAATGCAGTGTAATTGCCACACACAGAAGAACTCTTAAGAAGCCACAGAAAATTACTGTAAAGTAAGGAGTATGATGCCAAGAAACAGCATGAATTCTCAACTCGTGGAAGTTGGAAGGCAGGTAAAGTCACTTCATCATAACCCATAAAAAAAAAAAAAAAAATCATTCGATCTTATTGATCCCATTATATCATATGGTCTATATCCATTTAAAAGATGTTCCTTTCATAACTTTCTAAAGTCTGTTTTCTAAAAATGTCTAAACATTACTGCAAGTAAACTGTATTCCTCTAGCAAGTTAATATATCAAAGTTCATATGGATCTTAACAGAACATCCAGAATAGAAAAGCCCAAATCAAATAGCATCTAATATTTAAGAAAACATATGTTTAGAAGACAGTAAGCCCCACAAAGGAAGATGTAGAACTTACGAATCATTTGAAGTGCCTAGACACATTATAAATTTTACACGGAAACCAAATATACCTAATATGAATATTATTTGCAAACTTTAGTGGGTACCAGAATCAGCTAGAGGGATTCTGAAAACACAGATTGCTAGATCGGGTATTTAGCAGCAATAAACAAAAGCGTTACATATTACTTACTATTTACAGTATACTAGGCAGGTGTACAAAGAACTTTAAATACGTATCTCCTTCCTTCCCAGGTAGCCTATGAAGTGCTATTATTATCTCCATTTTAGAGATCAAGAAGTTGAGAAACAAAAGGGTTAAGTAACTTATACTGGGTCACATAGCTTGCAAGTAGCAGGGGTGGGGCTCTAATTCAAACTCTGGCTTTTCAGCCCATATTCTTAACCACCATATTTACAATCTCAGATCTTCTAATGTTCTCAAGAGAAATCATAACCCCAATGTCTTTTGCTATATTTCCTATTATTTTTAAAACATCCGTAGCCACCCCCACACTCCCTGACCCCATAAAACAACACATTCATGTGTAGGTTGTAACCAGCCCAGGTGCTGCAGGCTAATAAGCCCTGACCTAGAAGCTAGCAAGAACCTCCTAGGACCTTAGCCAGCAGCTTACACTGATTTACTGAAAGCCTGCTATGTGCCAGGCACTATGCTAGGCACTTTACAAGGTTATCATCTTTGTAATTTTTACTACAACCCTGTGAGACAGATACTATTAGGCTCCCTGCTAAAAATAATAAGAAAACTGAAGCACAAAGCAAACATACAGCTTGCCCATGGTGCCCATCAGTCACCAGCAAACAGGGGCAGACTTACCTGGGACTAAAACCCAGGCAGGCGGCCTCAAGACCAGCACCTCAACTACCCTGGTACACTGCCTCTGTCATATCAGTCAGGCTGCACAGAATTTCTCAAAGGTTGATATCATGCCTCACCAGGAAGAATGGTAAGGAGGTAGCTCATGGGGATGAACACAGAGGTCTCAATGTGAATGAGCTTCAACAACCTCAGGGGTATGAGTGGTTCAGCTCTCGCACCCTACGAGTATGTTAGGAGATCCCTCCAGCACTTGAGAGCTCTAAAGGGGAGTAAAATCTCCAAGAGTGGATTCATTTGTTCATTTAGTCAGTCATTACTTTGTCTACTTGGGTTGCACACTGCTAAGCTGCACACTGGTAAGGGACACAGACTATCATGAATCTAGATGTGCTAAGTGGGTGAGACATAACACGCCACAGGAGCTCAGAGGAAAAGGAAGCTAACACCAAATGGAGAAAATGAAGAAGGGCTCACAAGAGATGGAAATTAGAGCTGGGACTTGAAGGAGAAAACGGAGAATTCAAAAAGGAACGCTGCAGCACAATGAGCAGTTTCAAGGAAGGCTCAGGGAGGGGTGGCACCGTGCTGTGGCTGGAGCATAAGGGACACAGAGGGCCTGAGCCTATAGCAGGCGACAGAGAAACTACACTTGGGACAGCAATACAGGATCTGACAGCCAAGCACTGTGCTGGGGCATCTGGACTTCACTAGTGAGCCACAGAGGCTTTGGAGGTAAAGAACTGCATGCTTGCCGGGCGCAGTGGCTCACGCCTGTAATCCTAGCACTCTGGGAGGCCGAGACAGGTGGATAGCTCAAGGTCAGGAGTTCCAGACCAGCCTGAGCAAGAGCGAGACCCCGTCTCTACTAAAAATAGAAAGAAATTATCTGGACAACTAAATATATATATATATATAGAAAAAATTAGCCGGGCATGGTGGCGCATGCCTGTAGTCCCAGCTACTCGGGAGGCTGAGGTAGTGGGATCACTTGA